TTTGCGCCCGGAAATCTCCTGCTCTGCGATGGAATTGCTTGCCTTGGTGCCGACATGTGTGCTTGTGGGGGTGCTCTTGGGACCTAAGTGACTGTCCTGGGGGTGTAGTGGTGAATCTGCTGCTGCTGACATGGGGCTTCTCCATGGCAGGATCTCAGTTCCTGCTGTGCCACTGCGAGAGGACCTTGATTGCCCAGTTTCCCAGGGGTGATGAGCAGGTGACGGGGGGTGATTTCCAGTGGGCAGCTCCCACTGCCAACAGAGCACAGTGCTCCTTCCGCATGCCCAACAAGTTGGTTTCTGTGGCGCCAAAGCCCTGCAGAGTGTCTGGGATCAGGCAGGATCTTCATTGTGTTCCCCAGTGAACACAAAAGGATGCACAGCAGTGGTGCCTCTTGCTTGGTCCCTGCCCAGCCAGAGCTGCCAGGGAGAGCTTCAGAGCCGCTGTGAAATGGTCAGCATGTGCAAAGGGGAACACAGGGCAAACCTCATCTTTGGAGCCACCTGGGTCTTCAGTGGCTTCTGCACCTGGGAGAGCGTTGAAAGGAGCAATGTGGAGAGAGAATGGTGTGCCTTGGTTCAAAAGGCTTGCTAGTAACAGGGCCTGCTGCCAGCCAGTCACAAATTCACCACTAGTGGAATTTGCCAGTATTCTAGGTCTGTTGGAATTCAAGAAGAGCTTGCACAGTCCGTTTAAGGAATAGACGTGTTTATTGAAACAATAACAAAGAAGGGTCTGGAATGCTGAATTCACTATCTAGGGGGTATTACTATCTACGGGAAAAGGGCCACCTAAAGTGTCCCAGTCTATCTGGTAATTTCACTACCTAGAGGGTCCTAATACATATGGTAAAATTACTACTTACGGGGCTGTAATACGTGCAGCAAATGCACTGACTATGGGGTGTTAATATGTACTGTAAAACTACACTAACTACGGGAGGTTAATATCTAGAGGGTCTGCCAAGAGGCCCCACAAGCACAGCTCTGTGCAGGGAGATCCCTTTCAATGGCCGTAGATCCGCACTTGTTTGAGCCGATGCAGCAGGCGGATGTACTCCTGCACGGCCTTCGTGTGGGCTTCCGGGCTGCTCGCCAGGGGCTCTAAGAGGTTGGGTGGCTGAGCCAGCCGCAAGCCGGAGGGCAATTTGATCTCCCTGGGAAACTTCTCATTGCCTATGACAAAGTGGTGAAGTCGCTTTGTCTCCAGCGAGCACCGCAGGTACTTCAGGATATCCATCAGTCGCTGACCACCGCAGGTACTTCAGGATATCCATCAGTCGCTGACGGAAGTCCCTCCTGCCCCAGCGTGTCGGGGGTACGGTGCTCAGGAGGTGCATCACCACAGTCTTCAAGGCGTAGCTGGAAAAACCTACGCCCATCGGGAAGCAGCTGAGGAACTGCAGGCACTTGCAGTGCCAGCTGTCCTGGGGAGCCTGCCCGGAAATGTGCCTGAAGAATTTTGCCTCTGCCACGGCGTAAGTCTCGCGCCACGTTGTGCTTGGCGCGCCTACTTCTGTAGGCTGGCTGCCCACAAAGACATCTGTGTCTCCTTGCCGCACCCCAAAGATCACCTCCACCGTGAAGCTTTCTGTGTCTCTGCTGAGCTGAAATTTACAGGAGCGGCTGCAGGGCTGCAACATTAAATGCCAGTGGCAGGACGGAGGCAAAAACAGCCGGGCTGCTCTCAGGAATCGGTAGAACCACTGGACAGTTTTTTCCACGTCTAGATAGGAGCCAGTGCACAGGGTCTGCAGGAGGCTGGGGTCCTGCTTCCTTCTCAGCTCCTCCTCGGAGTGGTGGAGGAAGCACAGCATGTCCTCCCGCAGCTGCTCCCCTCTGCAGGTGCACAGCAGCTCCACACGGACACAGAAGTTCCTCTGGAGCATCCCTGCGGCGTCCAGCTCCAGGTGGAAAGCGTGTCCTGGAGGGGGACTCAGGGGCACAAGCACACGGTACACAGCATCTTGTGCGTGGGGACTCCAGCCTTCAAAGGCGCTGCCCACTCCGATGGCTTGTTGTGGCACCGGGTAGAAATGGTTGGAAAAGTCTTGTCCAAAGATGTCTGTCAGTTTGTCCATCAGCTCCATTACCAGGGAGCAACCTTTGTCCAGGTCCACTACGTGCAACTCTATGCGCTCCTCTAAAGGCCTTCCAAGGTTCCCCTTGGTATTGTGGGCGTCGTCTTCTCTCTTTGCATCCCGTTTGTCTTCTTCGAGTCCGGCAGCATTGTCTTCCTCGCCCTCTTTTGGTAAACCACGGTTTACTTCTCCCTTCGCACCATCATTGCCTTTTTGTGCTTCATTTCCAGCACTGCTTTCTGTCTTTGCAACAACGTTGTTGCCTTCTTCATTTCCATCCTTATTGTCTTCTTCCACATTTGCATCGTTGCTTTTGATTTCTTCCTTTGCAACAATGTTGTGTCCTGCTTCTTTATCTTCTTCTTCCTCTTTTTCTTCTTCTTTTTCTTCCTCTTCATTTCCAGCGGCATGGGCTTCCTCAGAATTCTCACCATGGTTTACTCCTTCTTTTGCATCCTCATTGCCGTCTTTTGCTTCATTTCCAGCGCTGCTTTCGGCCTTTACATCAATGGTGCTGCCTTCTTCATTTCCATCCATCGTATTTTCTCCCACATTTGCATTGTTGCTTTTGATTTCTCTCTCTGCCGCTGTGTTGTCTCCGCCTTCTTCTTCATCTTCTTCCTCCTTTCCGGCTTCGATGGCTTCCTCAAACTTCTCACCCTGGATTACTCCTTCTGTTGCATCCTCATTGCCTTCTTCTGCCTCATTTCCAGCACTGCTTTCTGCCTTTGCGTCAACGTTGCTGCCTTCTTCATTTCCATCCATGGTGCCTTCTCCCACGTTGGTGCTTTCTATATCTTTCTCTGCAACGATGGTGTCTCCTCCTTCTTCTTCTCCTCCTTCTTCTTCTCCTCCTTCTTCTTCTCCTCCTTCTTCTCCTTCGACTTCTTCCTCCGCCAAGTTGCTGCTGGACCTCTCCTTGACGCCACTGTTGTCGGGATTGCGTCTGATTTTCCCGACTCCAAACCACAGTGCCACGAGAAGGACCAGGATTCCGGTTAGAGCCCAGAGCTGCCAGACCAGCAGGGCTCCCCAGGCGCCACCACTCTGCTCCAGGTTCTTCTGCTCCAGTTCCTCAAGCAGCTGAGCCATCTGCTGGTTTCCTCAAGCAGCTGAGCCATCTGCTGGTTCAGATACTCAGCACGCTGCTCCATGCGCTCCCGTGCGGCCTCATCCAGCCCGTCCCCGGCCTGCTGCGGGTACTGGATGAGGCCTTGCGCAAGCAAGAGAAGAAGTGTCGTGGCCAGCATGGCCTAAGGTGCTTTGCAGGGCTCGAGTGGGGATGGGAGGGAGGTACTGAAAAGGGAAATGGGGACAGGAGCCCCCGGGGATCTGAAAGCAGGCACGAGGGGGCCGGGCAGCTGGCAGGCTGCAAGGCCTGTGCCGCTGGCCCGGCAGCAGCACCGCGCCCTGGCAAAGGTGCTCCTGCCAGAGCCTGGCCTCTGGATGCCCGCTGAGACCCGGCTGCCCGCGTACTCGCGCTTCTGCCCTCGGCCTCCTTTGGCGTTCAGCACAGCCTCCTGTCTGCGCGCACACTCGCCGCTCGCCGAGGCTGTACTGGGCCAGCGTCGCCTGCTCCTAATGTTGCTAGCTGCACCCATTGTGACACAGGTGCTGTGATGTCACGGGTGACAGAGTGCATCCTGGCCAGGCCAGCCCCGCCCTCCATCTCTACCTCAGCCCTGGGACTCATAATGGCCCCGGGCAAGCAAAGACGTGAGCCACGCAAAGAGCACACCAACGGGTCATAATGGAGCCCCGGCGGCTCACTTGAATAAACGGGCAGAAGCCCCCCAAAAGCTTTTCAATCTGAAATTGGGTGACATGGCCCGTGAAGGCTTTGCGCCCGGAAATCTCCTGCTCTGCGATGGAATTGCTTGCCTTGGTGCCGACATGTGTGCTTGTGGGGGTGCTCTTGGGACCTAAGTGACTGTCCTGGGGGTGTAGTGGTGAATCTGCTGCTGCTGACATGGGGCTTCTCCATGGCAGGATCTCAGTTCCTGCTGTGCCACTGCGAGAGGACCTTGATTGCCCAGTTTCCCAGGGGTGATGAGCAGGTGACGGGGGGTGATTTCCAGTGGGCAGCTCCCACTGCCAACAGAGCACAGTGCTCCTTCCGCATGCCCAACAAGTTGGTTTCTGTGGCGCCAAAGCCCTGCAGAGTGTCTGGGATCAGGCAGGATCTTCATTGTGTTCCCCAGTGAACACAAAAGGATGCACAGCAGTGGTGCCTCTTGCTTGGTCCCTGCCCAGCCAGAGCTGCCAGGGAGAGCTTCAGAGCCGCTGTGAAATGGTCAGCATGTGCAAAGGGGAACACAGGGCAAACCTCATCTTTGGAGCCACCTGGGTCTTCAGTGGCTTCTGCACCTGGGAGAGCGTTGAAAGGAGCAATGTGGAGAGAGAATGGTGTGCCTTGGTTCAAAAGGCTTGCTAGTAACAGGGCCTGCTGCCAGCCAGTCACAAATTCACCACTAGTGGAATTTGCCAGTATTCTAGGTCTGTTGGAATTCAAGAAGAGCTTGCACAGTCCGTTTAAGGAATAGACGTGTTTATTGAAACAATAACAAAGAAGGGTCTGGAATGCTGAATTCACTATCTAGGGGGTATTACTATCTACGGGAAAAGGGCCACCTAAAGTGTCCCAGTCTATCTGGTAATTTCACTACCTAGAGGGTCCTAATACATATGGTAAAATTACTACTTACGGGGCTGTAATACGTGCAGCAAATGCACTGACTATGGGGTGTTAATATGTACTGTAAAACTACACTAACTACGGGAGGTTAATATCTAGAGGGTCTGCCAAGAGGCCCCACAAGCACAGCTCTGTGCAGGGAGATCCCTTTCAATGGCCGTAGATCCGCACTTGTTTGAGCCGATGCAGCAGGCGGATGTACTCCTGCACGGCCTTCGTGTGGGCTTCCGGGCTGCTCGCCAGGGGCTCTAAGAGGTTGGGTGGCTGAGCCAGCCGCAAGCCGGAGGGCAATTTGATCTCCCTGGGAAACTTCTCATTGCCTATGACAAAGTGGTGAAGTTGCTTTGTCTCCAGCGAGCACCGCAGGTACTTCAGGATATCCATCAGTCGCTGACGGAAGTCCCTCCTGCCCCAGCGTGTCGGGGGTACGGTGCTCAGGAGGTGCATCACCACAGTCTTCAAGGCGTAGCTGGAAAAACCTCCGCCCATCGGGAAGCAGCTGAGGAGCTGCAGGCACTTGCAGTGCCAGCTGTCCTGGGGAGCCTGCCCGGAAACGTGCCTGAAGAATTTTGCCTCTGCCACGGCGTAAGTCTCGCGCCACGTTGTGCTTGGCGTGCCTACTTCTGCAGGCTGGCTGCCCACAAAGATATCTGTGTCTCCTTGCTGCACCCCAAAGATCACCTCCACCGTGAAGCTTTCTGTGTCTTTGCTGAGCTGAAATTTACAGGAGCGGCTGCAGGGCTGCAACATTAAATGCCAGTGGCAGGACGCAGGCAAAAGCAGCCGGGCTGCTCTCACAGATCGGTAGAACCACTGGACAGTTTTCTCCACGTCTAGGTAGGAGCCAGTGCACAGGGTCTGCAGGAGGCTGGGGTCCTGCTTCCTTCTCAGCTCCTCCTCGGAGTGGTGGAGGAAGCACAGCATGTCCTCCCGCAGCTGCTCCCCTCTGCAGGTGCACAGCAGCTCCACACGGACACGCGAGTTCCTCTGGAGCATCCCTGCGGCGTCCAGCTCCAGGTGGAAGGCGTGTCCTGGAGGGGGACTCAGGGGTACAAGCACACGGTACACAACATCTTGTGCATGGGGACTCCAGCCTTCAAAGGCACTGCCCACTCCGATGGCTTGTTGTGGCACCGGGTAGAAATAGTTGGAAAAGTCTTGTCCAAAGATGTCTCTCAGCTTGTCCATCAGCTCCACTACCAGCGAGCAGCCTTTGTCCAGGTCCACTACATGCAACTCTATGCGCTCTTCTAAAGGCCTTGCGAGGTTCCCCTTGATACTGTGGCCGTCGTCTTCTCTCTTTGCATCCCGTTTGTCTTCTTCCAGTCCGGCAGCATTGGCTTCCTCGCCCTCCTTTAAACCACGGTTTATTTCTTCCTTTGCACCATCGTTGCCTTTTTGTGCTTCATTTCCAGCACCGCTTTCTGTCTTTGCATCAACGTTATTGTCGTCTTCATTTCCATCCTTATTGTCTTCTTCCACTTTTGCGTCGTTGCTTTCGATTTCTTCCTTTGCAACAGTGCTGTGTCCTCCTTTTTCTTCTTCTTCTTCTTCTTCTGCTTCTTTATCTTCTTCTTCTGCTTCTTCTTCTGCTTCTGCTTCTTCTTCTTCTTCTTTATCTTCTTCTTCATTTCCAGCAGCATGGGCTTCCTCAAAATTCTCACCATGGTTTACTCCTTCTTTTGCATCATCATTGCCGTCTTTTGCTTCATTTCCAGTGCTGCTTTCAGCCTTTACATCAATGGTGCTGCCTTCTTCATTTCCATCCATCATGTTTTCTTCCACATTTGCATTGTTGCTTTTGATTTCTCTCTCTGCCGCTGTGTTGCCTCTGCCTCCTTCTTTATCTTCTTCCTGATTTCCAGCTGCATTGGCTTCCTCAAACTTCTCACCCTGGTTTACTCCTCCTGTTGCGTCCTCATTGCCTTCTTCTGCTTCATTTCCAGCACTGCTTTCTGCCTTTGCATCAACGTTGCTGCCTTCTTCATTTCCATCCATAGTGCCTTCTTCCACAGGGGTGCTTTCTATTTCTTTCTCTGCAACAATGGTGTCTCCTCCTTCTTCTTCTCCTCCTTCTCCTTCAACTTCTTCCTCCACCAAGTTGCTGCTGGACCTCTTCTTGACGCCACTGTTGTCGGGATTGCGTCTGATTTTCCCGAGTCCAAACCACAGGGCCACAAGAAGGACCATGATTCCAGTTAGAGCCCAGAACTGCCAGACCAGCAGGGCTCCCCAGGCACCACCACTCTGCTCCAGGTTCTTCTGCTCCAGCTCCTCAAGCAGCTGAACCATCTGCTGGTTCAGATACTCAGCACGCTGCTGCATGCGCTCCCGTGAGGCCTCATCCAGCCTGTCCCCAGCCTGCTGCGGGTACTGGATGAGGCCTTGCGCAAGCCAGAGGAGAAATGCCGTGGCCAGCATGGCCTCAGGTGCTTTGCAGGGCTCGAGTGGGGATGGGAAAGGGGGTACTGATAAGGGAAATGGGGACAGGAGCCCCCGGGGATCTGAAAGCAGGCAAGAGGAGGGGGGCCAGGCAGCTGGCAGGCTGCAAGGCCTGCGCCGCTGGCCCGGCAGCGGCACCGCGCCCTGGCAAAGGTGCTCCTGCCAGAGCGTGGCCTCTGGATGCCCGCTGAGACCCGGCTGCCCGGGTACTCGCGTTTCTGCCGTCGGCGTCCTCCTTCGGCGTTCAGCACAGCCTCCCGTCTGCGTGCACACTCGCCGCTCGCCGAGGCTGTGCTGGGCCAGCGTCACCTGCTCCTAATGTTGCTAGCTGCACCCATTGTGACACAGGTGCTGTGATGTCACAGGTGTCAGAGTGCATCCCGGCCAGACCAGCCCCGCCCTCCATCTCTACCTCAGCCCTGGGACTCATAATGGCCCCGGGCAAGCAAAGACGTGAGCCACGCAAAGAGCACACCAACGGGTCATAATGGAGCCCCGGCGGCTCGCTTGAATAAACGGGAAGAAGCCCCCCAAAAGCTTTTCAATCTGAAATTGGGTGGCATGGCCCGTGAAGGCTTTGCGCACAGAAATCTCCTGCTCTGAGACGGAATCGCTTGCCTTGGTGCTGACATGTGTGCTTGTGGGGGTGCTCTTGGCACTTAAGTGACTGTCCTGGGGGTTGCAGTGGTGAATCTGCTGCTGCTGACATGGGGCTTCTCCATGGCAGGATCTCAGTTCCTGCTGTGCCACTGCGAGAGGACCTTGATTGCCCGGTTTCCCAGGGATGATGAGCAGCTGACGGGGGGTGATTTCCAGTGGGCAGCTCCCACTGTCAACAGTGCACAGTGCTCCTTCCGCATGCCCAACAAGTTGGTTTCTGTGGCGCCAACGCCCTGCAGAGTGTCTGGGATCAGGCAGGATCCTCATTGAACTGTGTTCCCCAGCGAACACAGAAGGATGCACAGAGCAGTGGTGCCTCTTGCTTTGTCCCTGCCCAGCCGGAGCTGCCAGGGACAGTTTCAGAGCCCCTGTGAAATGGCCAGCATGTGCAAGGGGAACACAGGGCAAACCTCATCTTTGGAGCCACCAGGGTCTTCAGTGGCTTCTGCACCTGGGAGAGCATTGAGAGGAGCAATGTGGAGAGAGAATGGCGTGCCTTTGTTCCAAAGGCTTGCTAATAACAGGGCCTACTCCCAGCCAGTCACAAATTCACCACTGGTGGAATTTGCCAGTATTCTAGGTCTGTTGGATTTCAAGAAGAGCTTGCACAGTCCATTTAAGGAATAAATGCGTTTATTGAAACAATAACAAAGAAGGGTCTGGAACGCTGAATTCACTAACTAGAGGGCATTACTATCTACAGGAAAAGCGCCACCTAAAGTGTCGCAATCTGTCTGGTACTTTCACTAACTAGAGGGTCCTAACGCATATGGGAAAAGCACTAATTACGGGGCTGTAATACGTATAGTAAATGCACTAACTATGGGGGGTTAACACGTACTGTAAAAATGCACTAGCTACGGGAGGTTAATATCTACAGGGTCTGCCAAGGGGCCCCACAAGCACAGCTCCGTGCAGGAAGATCCCTTTCAATGGCCGCAGATCAGCACTTGTTTGAGCCGATGCAGCAGGCGGATGTACTCCTGCACGACCTTCGTGTGGGCATCCGGGCTGCTCGCCAGGGGCTGAAAGAGGTTGGGTGGTTGAGCCAGCCGCAAGCCGGAGGGCAATTTGATCTCCTTGGGAAACTTCTCATTGCCCACGACAAAGTGGTGAAGTTGCTTTGTCTCCAGCGAGCACCGCAGGTACTTCAGGATATCCATCAGTCGCTGACGGAAGTCCCTCTGCCCCAGCGTGTCGGGGGTACGGTGCTCAGGAGGTGCATCACCACAGTCTTCAAGGCGTAGCTGGAAAAACCTCCGCCCATCGGGAAGCAGCTGAGGAGCTGCAGGCACTTGCAGTGCCAGCTGTCCTGGGGAGCCTGCC